CAGACTCACAACGAGGAGACATGATATAAATTGACAACGCAAGAGTATAACCAGTCTAGATTATCCGCCGAAACAGATTAATATTTAACGTAAATGTCAAAATAGCTGTGAAAATTATATGAATGGCTCATTGAAATGAGGATGACACTGCGAAAAAGGTTAGCATGTCCTGCCCTATCGGACGCATTCGTCACCACTCGCCCCTTTCCGTAACCTGCAAGAAGACGTGTCCCTATCGGACGCATTCGTCACCACTCGCCCCTTTCCGTAACCTGCAAGAAGACTTGTCCCGGACCAACACGAGTTGGTCATGAATGCCATCGGACGCACCCACCATTTACATAATTTGCATCAAAACGTATGTATGTATTGCCGCACAGCAGTAATACTACCACTGTGACTGCACATGCGTGCCGGGATGGTACACACGTCGATTACGTTTAAAATGGTTTTGTAAATTCATCCAACTGATTTCAAAGCAGGCCCGGCCTATTTATTCGACAGAAGACATTTATAGAACATCTCAGGAGTGATATGACTGTAGGCACGGACAGTAAAATGTACAATGTGGAGCATGTCCATACCATGAGGGAAGGAGGGGTAAACTAACGGGTATTTTCATGCCATTTCTGGTGTCACCCGTCGTGATATGTTACAGGAACCCTGCAAAACTCATCCACTCACTGTACCTACATAAACTGAGAAGCAAAACAAAAGAAAAACTATGCCTCTCAGCTGATTTTATCATGTTTGATTTTTCCATTGAAAATATCTCAAGTTAACGATATATTATTCAAATTATAAACTCTACTTGTGCTAACTCAGCATTCGAAGAAAACGTGGTTTTATTTATAACAAAATTTTATTTTAAACTTTTAAAATTAAAAATGAATTTCATAATACACAACTTCTGATGGGTATTTTAGACATTTATTCTTTGAAAATTGAAAAAAGGCTTTTTTCGGCACAAATGTACGTTTCAAACATGATAGGAGTCATGTGATTACAAATTAATTTCTTTACATGAATAGCCAACTCAGACACAGTATTCTGACTCGGGGCCGACCAGTCATTGTGTTATCCCCTTGCCGAGCGCCAGGCAGGGTAACAACAAGTACCTTTTTGTAACGTCTTTTGGTATGCTCGGCCGGGGATCGAGCTCCGGACATTCCGCTCTTCGGGCGGACGCTCTACCACTAGACCACTGAGGCGGTCCATAACAAACAGGACAGTGCATGAATAGTTAACTTCCTTAACATAACGATATTACCTTCTCTGTTCTCTTGTAAATGATATAGGTGACTTTTGAATAATGCACTGATGAGAAAATGCATGAACGTCCCATGTTAAATCTTACATGTCATGAATAACAATCTACGTATACACGAGTTATTTCCCTTTCTTGTCTTTGCAAACAAATACGGGAATGTGCGCGTGATGCACGATGTACTGACTCACGCTGCCTAGCAGCGTCTGTCTCAACTTGCTGTGTCCCCGGGTACCCGTCACGATACACTCCGCTTCCTCCTCCTCTGCCAGACGCACAATGGCGTTCCCTGGGCACTTGTCCGCCAGTCTCACCACGCGCCCGTGAATCTGAGGGACGAAGACAAACATTGATTCTTTGTGGCATTTAGTACATTTTGTAACATGGATGCTGTATTTTTTTCTTCAATTTCAACAGTACAATATTCCCCATTCCCCATGGTGTAGCCTATAGTGGTTCAAGCGTTTGCTCGTCACGCCGAAGACCCGGGTTCGATTCCCCATATGGGTACATTATGTGAAGCCAATTTCTGGTGTCCCCTGCCGTGATATTAGTGGAATATTGCTAAAAGCGGCGTAAAACCATACTCACTCACTCAAGGGGTAGAACCGCCGATTCCCTGTTCAGGAGGCGGAGGTAGCACAAAAGACGTGCAGTTCATGCGCACGTGCACAATACGGTCTATCTATACAGTAGACCGTCTCCCTGATTTTTTTATAGGCTGTCTGCATGGAGAGCGGAAGGTCGCTCGTTCGATCCCCATGTCAAAAAGACGTCACAGGATGTTACTTGTTATTACCCTGCCTGGCGCTTTGCATTAAGTTAATAAAACAAGGATTGGTCGGCTCAGACAGAACTGTCTGAGTGGGGTATGTATGTTAAACTGCGGCATGGTATCTCAGTGGGCTGGCACTATAAAACCGGATTTAATTCCGACCGACTAGAACAAGCACGCACCCAAAGAAATTTGACGTCAACTAGGTTACCATTACTCAGTAATCAGCCGACACGCCCAAACTAATTCAGAAAAGTACCTGCCACGTACAGGACGCCTTCCTGTGACGTCAGGACGTGAAAACAGGATATTACTGCGATTAGTGCGAAGAAATCCATTTGCGACGAGCACCTGCCTGAAGCGTAATTGATTATCCCATAGACGACTGTCTTGACAAACATTGCGGAATCGTTTAAGATCTGCCGAAATGAGGGCCCGAAGAGTCGTCAAACGCCCCCTACTGGTACAACGTCATCGGAGACTGCGATCACAATGGTGTTTGGTACACCAAGGGTGGAACCTCAGAACATGGAAACGTATCCATTGGTCAGATGAAAGCAGGTTTCAGCTGCATGTGAATAATGGCCAAACGAGAGTGTGGAGGCACCAAGGTACAACATACACCCCCAAGAACATTAAACTAACTGTTCCGTTTGGTGGTGGCTCCGTGATGATATGGGTGTGCATATCCCACGATTGCAAGCTACACCTTGTGACTATACGGGGCAATCTCAATGGTGAACGTTACATCCGGGAAGTTCTGGAACCAGTTGTTGTTCCCTATTTTGACAACCACCCTCTGGCATCAAGACCCCTGTTCATTGACGATAACGCTAGACCCGACCGTTCAAGAGCTGTGACTGCACATTGGGCAAACAACGCCTTGCAACTCTACCTTGACCTGCAGTGAGTCCTGATCTTAACCCCATAGAGCACATTTGGGACATTCTTGGGCGTAGAGTGCAGGTAATGGACCCCCCTCCACACAATCTGGATGAATTGGCAGCAGCTTTGCATCATGAATTGGCGCTATTTCCCCTTGAGACGATCCGATGTCTGACTGGAGGGATGAGGAAAAGGGTCGAGGCTGTCATCCGGGCACGCGGTGGGCCCACCCGTTATTAATTTTTTTGAATGTCATTAATAGACGTTAATACACATTTTTATCTATTATGTGCAATAATTTATCGTTGTTCCAGATAAGCAGTGCTATACTTATAGAGGGTGTTGTTTTGTGGTAAAAACAGTATCGGTGTTTGGGCAACCATATCTCAATTAAAATTTCATTCTGGCTCAAAACTGTTTTGTTTTGTTTGTTCTAGGATGATTGCTCTTTACAAACAACTCTTTCTCCAACATCACTCTGTCCATTTTATCATGTTCGTGATTCTTATTTACTATACAGAAAATTTCTGGGGTGGGGGTTGGGGGTTGGGGGTGGTGCTTAACTTTTTTTGTTGATGTGTATATTATAGGGTTTTTCAGATCTGCTTCGGAAACGAGCACTACCGCCATTTTCAGTCAAAGTCAAAGTCGTTTTGACAATCCAAAACTATCAAAAGGCACCAGTTCATCAATAGACCTATTTGTGCCAAGTTTGGTCAATATATCACCCGTGGGTTTTGAGTTCTGCTCCGTAAACGAAACGTGACTGACTGACTGAGTGACTGACTGACGGACAGCAACCATTCCTCTATCCCCCTTCCACTTCATGGCGGGGGATAATAAGTCGCATCCGTCTGATTCGCCTACCCCAGACTCCTCAAGCCGGTTGTTGAGACTCGCGCAGACGCTCTGAATGTGTTCCTCTTCTTTCCGAAAGTGTTCGGCAATCTCCGCGGCGTCTGCGTTGAAGGAAAACACTGAAAATAGAACAAGAAAATAATTACATAGAACTTATTCTGTGTACATTGATTAGGTATAGGAATCTCCCTTTCGCTTCATGTGGAACACTTTCATTTGTGTTGTATCAGGCAATGAGTTGTCAGCTTTGTTAAGCAGCTTATATACCTTCTCATCAGTCGAGAACAGGGAGGTCATCATATTGGAGGTAAGCCCATGGACGTCAACATGGGGCTAATGAAAATAACACTCTCGACCATAATCAGGTTATACTCGAAGCTCTTACATCGTTGTACAAAGCTGGCTACCGGCAGCTGTGGTTGCAGATTAAATACATTACAGAAGCCAGCGCTGCCAGAACATTAGATTACAGTCGTTGACACAATGAGTGTCAGAAGCCTGGTGATACAACCACCACCATCCTCAACCACCACCATCCTCAACCACCACCATCCACAACCACCACCATCCACAACCACCACCATCCTCAACCACCACCATCCACCATCCTCAACCACCACCATCCTCAACCACCACCATCCTCAACCACCACCATCCACAACCATCCACAGCCACCACCATCCTTAAGCACCACCATCCTCAACCACCATCCACAACCACCACCATACTCAACCACCACCGTCCTCAACCACCACCATCCACAACCACCACCATCCTCAACCACCACCATCCTCAACCATCGGCATCCTCAACCACCACCATCCACAACCAGCACCATCCATAAACCAGCACCATCCTCAACCACCACCATCCACAACCACCATCCTCGACCACCACCATCTTCAACCACCACCATCCACCATCCTCAACCACCACCATTCACAACCACCACCATCCTCAACCACCACTATCCTCGACCATCACCATTCACAACCACCACCATCCTCAACCACCACCATCCTCAACCACCACCATCCACAACCACCACCATCCTCAACCACCACCATCCACAACCACCACCATCCACAACCACCACCATCCTCAACCACCACCATCCACCATCCTCAACAACCACCATCCTCAACCACCACCATCCTCAACCACCACCATCCTCAACCACCACCATCCACAACCATCCACAGCCACCACCATCCTTAAGCACCACCATCCTCAACCACCATCCACAACCACCACCATACTCAACCACCACCATCCTCAACCACCACCGTCCTCAACCACCACCATCCACAACCACCACCATCCTCAACCACCACCATCCTCAACCACCGGCATCCTCAACCACCACCATCCACAACCAGCACCATCCATAAACCAGCACCATCCTCAACCACCACCATCCACAACCACCATCCTCGACCACCACCATCTTCAACCACCACCATCCACCATCCTCAACCACCACCATCCTCAACCACCACCATCCACAACCACCACCATCCACAACCATCCACAACCACCACCATCCTCAACCACCACCATCCACAACAACTACCATCCACAACCACCACCATCCTCAACCACCACCATCCACAACCACCACCACCCTCAACCACCACCATCCTCAACCACCGGCATCCTCAACCACCACCATCCACAACCAGCACCATCCATAAACCAGCACCATCCACAACCACCACCATCCACAACCACCGGCATCCACAACCACCACCATCCACAACCAGCACCATCCATAAACCAGCACCATCCACAACCACCACCACCATCCACAACCACCATCCTCGACCACCACAATCCTCAAGCACCACCATCCACCATCCTCAACCACCACCATCCTCAACCACCACCATCCTCAACCATCCACAACCACCACCATCCTCAACCACCACCATCCACAACAACTACCATCCTCGACCACCACCATCCTCAACCACCACCATCCTCAACCACCACCATCCACAACCACCACCATCCACAACCACCACCATCCTCGACCACCACCATCCTCAACCACGACCATCCTCAACCACCACTATCCTCGACCATCACCATCCTCAACCACCACCATCCACAACCACCACCATTCACAACCACCACCATCCTCGACCACCACCATTCACAACCACCACCATCCTCAACCACCACTATCCTCGACCATCACCATTCACAACCACCACCATCCTCAACCACCACCATCCACAACCACCACCATCCTCGACCACCACCATCCTCAACCACCACCATTCACAACCACCACCGACAATCATATTCAACCACCATCTACCACCCATCAATACAACCACCCGCTACCAACACCAACAACCACCACCACCTACAACTAACATCATCACAACCACCATAACATCCACTACAACCACCACCACTACCCCCATCACCCATCACACACACAGCTCATTGACAGCTCCCACTGATATCAGCTCCAATATAAAAAGCAGAATTGGGTGTGACATCTATGCATGATGCACAACTGGTGTTTCAGTGTGTATAGAGCCGGGATTACAGGATGATTGTACAGAGAATATACGGCGTGTGAAACAGAGAGAGACTGTGAATAATTAAGATAAGTGGTGGGTGATCGATAATTGCTTTAAAATAAACATTAACAAGAACCAATAAATCCAGGCTCACAGATAAAGGCTTAACGTGGTAGCGGAAGCACATGGTAGTCAATGACACAGTATAATTTCTGTGCATTGTATATGTTTATCAGTATGTGACCTTTCCATGGCTACTATTGCCTGAACTCGATAGCGTTATGTGGGCGTAGCGTTTAACGCTGCACACATCAATATTCCAGCAATTTGACTTCGGTCTGTAAATAATCTGGTGGGACCAGACAATCCAGTGATTGACATCATGAGCATCGATCTACGCAAATGGAATCGATGACATGCATTAACTAAGTCAGCAAGTCTGACCACCCGATCTCGTTAGTCGCTTCTTACGACAAGCATAGTCGCCTTGTACGGCAAGCATGGGTTGCTGAATACCTATTCTACCCCGGATCTTCACGGGACGATATGAGTTTTGAGATGGGACAGTTTCTTGAAGCTGGCTGAACCTATAGAAGAGAGACAAGAGGGCGATTGTAAGTTTTCTTCGACCTGACTTGTGTCTTTTCTACTTGCCAAGTGCGGATTGGATACCTATTTGAAGACACCAACAGCTTCTTATACTATGCTGGATTCAAGAACAAGGCATGCAACATTGAAAGAATTAATTAATTAGCCAGTTACTTATTTCTGCTGCCCCATATTCGACTCATTGTGTTGCCTTTTTTATAAATAATTGTACGCCTGTGTGTAAAAGTGTGTGTTTGAATAATTATATTTTGTATTGATTATTTATTGATCTTGTGTAGTCATTTAAGTGATTTTTACAATTTAGTACTGTACGTACCGAGTTCCGGGTTAACCTCTTCGTTTCAGTTTGGAACTTACTTCGTGGCAATAGGTCTTAGTCGTCACGTACAGACGTCAGCTCAGTGGGTGAGGAAATGCCATCCCACTTACACGTTTCTATAACACAACTATTGCATAAATGTTTAGCAGAGCAGAGCTCCAGATAAGCTTTTGGTGTTGTGGGTATTTTACTCATGCATTTTAAAATCATTGGGTATCAGTTATTCTATCTGGGTATTTACATTTCTGTTACCCACTAGTTTTTACACATGTGGGTATTTAAGTTAAATATTTAAAAACAATATTCATCTAGTCCCTGCAAACTTGTGTCGTGTAGGTTCGAGAGCTTTATAGGACTCAAAAATACCACGATACTTCCACACGAAAGTGTGATGGCACATGATAATGACGTAACTGTCATCGTGGAGTTTGGCAAGGTTGACGGAATGCCCGTTTATAATTTCAAAATAAGTTGCTGATTTGCTAATCGAAAACGCAGGGTTACTTCACAATATTTTGATGATACGCACAAGTTTTATTTTTGTAGCGTATCTGTTATGTTCGTTGCGTATTTGATACGCTTGGATTTTATTTTACTGCGTATTTCTGCATTTCTGATGCGTATTTTACGCAGATACGCAGATTATCTGGAGCTCTGAGCAGACATTGTTTTATGGTTTTGGAAATGTTTTAATCGCTTGTATGTTGTATACGTATCTTATGACATCTTTTCACATGCTGGCAAATACAAAAAGTCAACATATGATCAAAGTTATAATATTAAACAACAATTTTACCATGAATTTGGACCCTGTTAGGTTTAGATATCAGGTTGTTATTTTTATGGGAAAATTCTGATTGAAACCAAAGATCAGAATTTATGCGCATGTGATAGTACTATCATATATTATTGCCGAATAATATGAAAATAACTACCATACGACTTTTGCTATAACATGTCGGTAAAATCTATTGGTGCAATATTTCCCAGCGTGCACATATCACCTTTCAGTTATTCTAACAATGTGATTGGCTGTGTGTAAACACTGGCGGAACCACTTTCGTCATATTCACTCGTGAATATTTCGATCACGAAATCACCCTTTTTAGTTTACGCTTGAAATCATCCAAACCTGTCACATACAATAACTGAAATACGTTGCTCCTGGTATTAACATTTCAAATACAGAAAACGTTAACCAGAAAAGCAAGATCTTATTGAAACTATCTACACTTCTGCAACATACGCAACTGATGATATATTTCATTGATGACGTCACTCAATAGACCGTCAGATGACGTCACTCACTAGGCCTATTTAATCAAACAAATTAGAAATCATAAAAGTCGACAAGTTCCTCCCTAATGCCGAATCGCTATATTGGTGCAATAAACTTGGACGTGACGTTAAACCCCATTTCACCTCACCTCCTAATGCCGAAGAGCACAGGAGCACCAACGAGCAATAGCGTTGTTTAACTGGACCCCTGTGACACACCGTTAATGCACCCTACTGCGCAGGCTCCTATTTTAAACAGGCATTAACCACAGAATGCTAGGCGTACAATTACCTCTTAACTGCATTGCCTGGTTCCTTACAAAACGTCGTATTCAGCCAGCATCATCGCCGTCCTTGCAGCGGCAAGGATTTCACTTAGGCTATAGAGCAGCATTAACAGCATATAAACACCAGATGAACTGTATTGAAGAAAACTTGGCAGTGTGTATTGTGTATCCATGGCTTAAACACTGTTTTTCACCAGCCCTTACTGGGCTGACATTTTTACCAAATGCACCAAGTAACCACTAAATGGAATCTGAAGTTTAACTGGAAACCGCTGCCAGTGCGTAAACAAGGTCACCAGGAGCACTATGCACATGTGCTTAGACATGGTGCTTTTTCATAGAGTGACACTAAGCGTTACATTACCGGATTCTCAATGACATTACGAAGTCACTGCATTGTTAAAACATTAAAACGGCCTTTGACGTTTCCAAAGACACCACACTAGGGGTGTCTGAAGGGCTTTGTGCCCGCCTATCATGGACTACATTAGTGGAGTTGGCTGATAATTAATTTTACGATGCTGGAGTGCATGGATCCCACTGAAGTTGTAGGTTTCCTGCCGCTGGTGTAAAAAGGTCCTCGACAGCAGATATGACTTCATCATCAGACTGTTCTTTCTTCATGTTTGGAAAAAGGTGGAAATCTGACGGTGCCAAATCTGGTAAATACGGAGGATGAGTTCAAAGCCTCTCATTGCATGGCGACAGGAGACTTGTCCTGGTGGAACAACACTCATTTAGTCAGTCTAACACGACGTTTAGCCTTGATATTCTAGCTAATGCGGTTGCCTGAGCAGATAAGCATGATACTGTCAGTTAATGGAGGTACATGTAGTTCACCAGGATTCCTTTGGCAATCGCAGAAAACCGGAACAGACCCTATTTGGAGAAGAGACAGTATATGTTTCAGCTGCTTTGACGGATCTTTTGTCTCTGGCTTATTGTGGTGAACCCAGTATACATCAATGGTTATACATCTCTCACCAGAATCAGCTGAGTCAGCCAAAAAGCGACGTAAATTGTCATGAGAAATGATGAACATTGAGCGTTTCTGGTCAGAAGTCAGAAACCTTGAAACTCTGCGTTCTAAAAGCCTTTGTCATGTCCATTTCATTCATCAGAATGTGCTCAACTCTCTCATGTACATTTGTATTGGCTACTAGTATATGACGTTTGGGGAGTCGTCGATCATCCATATTCGTTTTATGGGTATTACCAACTGTTTCCTTAGTGGTGTTAGTTGAAGGTCTTCCAAATCTTGGACCATCTTCGAAGCTCTCTCTTGCCCACGTGCCAGTTGCCAAAGAAGGGGAATTATCCCTTAAAGTTGACATCACGTCCACAATGCTGGCTGATGGAATTGGAGTTTCAGTTGGATATATTTGATGACCGCGCGGTAGCCAATTTTGTCTATTTACATCTATTAACATCAGCAGACTTAGTCACTCTGCCTAATTGTGTATTTGTATTCAAATGCAGACTTTAAGCATGGACAGTATTGTACTTAATACAATGTACATTCAAACTGCTATTAGTGTTCAAAACATACTTCGGGGGCGGTCGGGTAGCCAAGTGGTTAAAGCGTTCGCTCGTCCCGCTGAAGACCCGGGTTCGATTCCCGACATTGGTACAATGTGTGAAGCCCATTTCTGGTGTCCCCCGCTGATATTGCTGGAATATTGCTACAAGCGGCGAAAAACATACTCACTCACTCACTCACTCACTCACTCACTACATACTTCGTAGTTAGAAAGCGTCTCAGTCCCCCCTCGTGTTCTTCGTTTACATGTTGGAGATAACAAAATTAACCAGATAGTATTTGTTATAGCGCCATTACATAAATTATTTCCGCTGTGGTCAGGTAACTTGACCTTTCTATCAGTCTCTTCCAGAACACAAAACGTTTTGTTTGATATGTATTGCATCTCTGGTAAAACATAAAATATTGCGCTCGTTTTTCCTATATCAATCTTGTATGTATACAAGAGTGCTAGCAGTAGACATCCAATTACATCCAACCAGTACCGTGACGTCATATTTCATACTTCACAATGATGGGTGTCACATCATAATAGTGGCGTACGGTGAAGAACTAAACCGTGCAAAACTGGCTTTCATTTTTTTACAAGCGCTTACAATGCCTGTCACTAAAAAATCAATGTACATTGTTTGAGGTCATTATTTTTTTAATTCCGAATATCAACCCACACAAAACATTTGTCTTCCTTTCACTTTCAAATACTGATTGATAATAATGTAAGGAGAACAATACTATGTGTGTGTGTGAGAACATGAAAGAACATGTCATGTCGGGCCGTGACGTCACATCTATTACATCACAATGAACTTGTGACGTCATAAATTTATGCGCGGTTTAGAACTAGTCTTTGAAAGGTTCAGTTCATTTCATAGTGTTCTGGCGAAAGTTAGGCACGCGGCTTGAGAGTCACTGTTTTGTGTTTCGAAGCTGAGACCTCCCTAGATCCTGACATCCCGTCCCGCACGGGCACTTCTTGGGGAATTACAGCTCTCATTACTAGATAATGCAAGTGCCAGGCCAAATACCCCAGTGGAAGAGCTGCATTGATCCTAGCTCATAATGTCAGGAGGTAGTTCTGTAGTAGTCTGTCTCACAGTCCCTGAACCATATTACTTTCCCTTTCCCCAATGCCTTACTGTAATACTACAGCCCTAAATAAAGCAAGTCTAGATTTTCTTCAGGGTCTTCTATCTGACTGGGATCCTTTTCCAAGTAAATGCAGTTTGTTTCATCTAAATGACATATTGTCTGAGATTAAGCTTTAGCCTAGTTCTGGAGCAACACAGCTCAGTTCCTTCCTATAGTCGGTGGTTATGGTCATGGAGAGAACAATATGTTTCACAAACAAATATCGGAAGTACGAGAGGCATGAAGAATCTATGAGAAATAACGTGCCTGTCCCAAGTGAATGTAAGGTTGAAACCCAGAGCCTTTGGCTTGGGTAGTATCTCGATGTACAGCACACATTCACGAGGGACAGATATTAAGCGTTTCGAGAAGGTTATTCTATAATTTACTCATTGTCTTTAAATTATTGAAATTGACAAAAACGTCTTAAATGTCACCCCAACAGAGACACATCACTGAAATCAGCCTATTGTTCAGATGACAAAATGTTTTCATTTTGTGACGTCATGAACAATGGATGACGTCATATCGTTCTCAACAATGAGTCACGCAATACTCTGACATATCGCTTCAACCGACTATATAACCAGCATAGGTATCGCTAAAATGCACATGTGCATATAGGGACAATGGTTAATGGTGGTTGTCAAACACGCTGTTCATACGCTGTGTGGTGGTTAGAAATGATATTAATAACATATTAATTGTAACCACGTCTTGAACTTTCACTAGTGGATATATAAGATATTGTCACTATCGAGAGTGACGATATATTTTTATCGTCACTCGATAGAGACAGGGAATTTATTTCACTTAAACAGCAGTTGCGATATATGATATCTCAATGGATATAATAAAATGCATGCATATAATAAAATGCATTTCCTAACTGGTAATAGTAGTATATGACTTCTGGAGAGATCTACTCACGTGGAGAATGGAAGAAGTGGCCATATTCCGGACAGTAGCCAATCACTGCTTCGTACTCGTCATTAGTTGTATGGAGGTTGGCCACGTACCCTGTCAAAAGAGGAATAAGGTATGATAACTATCATTAGTCGTGTGAAGGTTGGCCACGTACCCTGTCAAAAGAGGAATAAGGTATGATAACTATCATTAGTCGTGTGGAGGTTGGCCACGTACCCTGTCAAAAGAGGAATAAGGTATGATAACTATCATTAGTCGTGTGAAGGTTGGCCACGTACCCTGTCAAAAGAGGAATAAGGTATGATAACTATCATTAGTCGTGTGGAGGTTGGCCACGTACCCTGTCAAAAGAGGAATAAGGTATGATAACTATCATTAGTCGTGTGGAGGTTGGCCACGTACCCTGTCAAAAGAGGAATAAGGTATGGTAACTATCATTAGTCGTGTGGAGGTTGGCCACGTACCCTGTCAAAAGAGGAATAATGGATGGCAATTAGTCGTGTGGAGGGTCATTCATAGTTCAGTTCACGTCATGCGTCTCTCTGTTAAGATGTTTACTATGACTAAGTACAACTATTAAATTAAAGCGTGGAAGAACACAAGAGAACGACAACAGATCTGTAGATTTCTAATGGAGGTTATACACATATACCAACGTTGTGACACCTGGAAAAATGGAACGTACCAAAAGTTGCACTGCGGTGTTGGATAAATATATACTCGCATTCTTGATCAAAGTGATTTAAATCTTCAGCACATCTGTTTGTATCACGTTCTGCACGTGCAAGTTTTTACAGATTTGATTATTTACAGTGAGTGAGTTAGTAATTTTACAGCCACTACAAATGGGCTTCACATGTGGGGAATCGAACCCGGATATTCGGCGTGGCGAGAGAACGCTTTAACCACTAGGCTACCCCTACGCCCCGGTTATATACAGGCCGACTAGATAATGCCTGTATTACTGCTGACTGTGGCGTAAAACAACAAACAAACGCCATATCGGCTATAGAAATAAACTTATATATAACCAGTCACGATTATCTCTCGAAACATATCCATTGGACGTAAAGGGGCGGTCCGGTAGCCTATTGGTTAAAGCGTTCGCTCGTCACGCCGAAAACTCGGGTTCGATTCCCGACATGGGTACAATGTGTGAAGCCTATTTCCGGTGTCCCCCGCCGTGATATTGCTGGAATATTGCTAAAAGCGGCGTAAAACCATAACACTCACTCACTCACTCATTGGACGTAAAAGTGAAAATAGTGGTGAACATTATATGAATGGATCACTAAAATAAGTGATGACACCAGGTGTTCGACAAAATGATAAAGATGAACTATATAATAAACACATTCCCTGGCCCTATTCAAGCTAATTACATCTGCACCATGATTAGAGGAAATAACACCCGTGGTATAAAGCTTAATTCCACACCGGATATTGACGGAGCCTCTTTAACTGCACAACTTACTATGGATGGAAATTAGGATTTAATGAACATATTCTGCCAACTATATGGACTGGTGTCGTACTCCTTACTCGGCTTTGACCTTGGCTACACGGTCATTGACCGATGTCCACAGGGACAGGAGCATCCAATGTATAATTGATTTAATTATTCCCACTGATCCGTCGAAGAGGCTGGCAAGTGTCAAATGACTAATAAGAACTACTGCCTTAAAAAAGGATGCTGTCTTGAAGCATTCTATAAATTGATTTGTGGGAGTCCTTCTCTGGGGTTCTTGAATTAGCTGGAATAGTTTTCACCAAAAGCCTTTGCAGTGAATGTAGTCGTATTTGCTGAAAGTTGAGTGTAAATATTACGCATTGATATGAATGCAATAAAAACGGTAATCTATGTTTAATATCGGGGTGAAAATATTTGAACCACACGATTGTTTGAAGTGTGTCGTGAATCAAATATCACTGAGGAAAAAACAAAACTCAATTTCTGTGCAAAACATAAAATGGGAAAGTTGTGTTTCATTGTAGCTCAAGAGTCAACGCTCACTTTTCACGTCCACGTCACTTTTCAATGCACCCAGTGGCAACTGGTACACAAAGCTTTATAATTACCCTCGGACTACAGCCTTTTAATTCTTGATTTGAAAGCTGAAAAGCTATTAAACATTTCAAGCTCGATCTCGAAATTACTTTTAGCTTGAAATTATATCTTTGATTTTGGAAAATGAAATCCTTAAACTCTCGTTAATCACTAAAGCTTATTGATCTGTTTTATAGGTGTTTCATACTGTTGAAATTTAGAACTATAAGAGCCGTTTTAAAGTCATATCACCCTCATAAGTCAAATATTCCACTCAAAATAATTAAAGAACACCCATTCTTTCATTTCACAATAGTTAATCTGTCATGGCATGGCAAACTAACTACAATCATATGAAAGAATCGGGTGTTCTTACTTATTTTGTGTGAAAACTTATTCTGTGTAGTATATATTTGCGTATATATCATACGACTGAACGTTGTGAAAGTGTTAAGTTTATTTGAGATATATCATGTAAAATTTGAATTTACTTTGAAAATCCAAACATATATTATTCAATAAACATAAATGTTGTCGCTTCACTTTGAATTTCATGTCCATAATATCCGAGCAGTTGTTCAGATTGTAAGCACTTAAAACTTTATTCACAACAAACACGTTTTGAATGATAAAAAGGGTTATAAATCTGAATCGGCGATAACAACGACTCCTTGACAAAACCGATAACTAACCACGCCGTAAATAATCTAGGGATAGGTATAAAACAGAAACAACATGTAGCTATTACTTTATGAAAACAGCTACAGTGAATGTGAGGCTTTGAACTTCTGATCTACGAAATGAGTAACATGAAGTACGAGAAGTTGTGATGATGATTATTATTATTATTATTGATGATGGGTTCAGTCAACGTAGAGAACGTAGATGATCTGCGTCAATATTCATTCATTCATTTACGCATTCATTCATTGTCTCAAACGTCTTTTCTGTTTGTCAATTGTATATTGATATATTGCATTCTGTATTTGTGCGTGCGGCGCATAAATAAACATTTACTACCACCAGCAGTAAATAGTAAACTGTATTATTCTCTTTCGGTTTGCATCCATCACACTGAACTGTCGGTTGCAAGTGACTTGTTCATTAAATATTCAACAGCGAGATGTTCCCAATAATCAATACATGTGCAGTTCTAATGTAACAAATCCTATTAAGGTCACCGACTCAGATGGGGTCGGACGTTATTGTCATCCAGAGCAGCCCCCTGCTCTCACCCCCTTCACCTGGGGTCAGTAATGACTGACAATAATTAATGGGGTCAAAATAATACAGATGCATTCAAAACCATCCTGATTGTAATAGTGATGGAGTAACGTAACGTGATTGGTGATAAAGGGGGGGGGGGGGGGGGGGGATTGGGGTATTCGCTGTGCAGAGTTGCGTCCCTCGGGCACGCCAGAAATCTTTGATTGTGGGTTCGAATCCCGGTTCGCACCGATTATGTTTCTAGGTTTCATGGCACCATACCCGTGCTCGTGGGTTTCACCGAACTGGTAAACGTCTGAGCCCTGCATCACTTGGGATTTTCCTCTCACATTAAGCTGACACTCCGCGATATAACTGGAATACTGTTAAAAGCGGCGTTAAACCCAACTCACTCACTCACTCACTCGATGTAGCTGAGATGGGAACTCCCGTTTAACAATAACGACACATCAGCCACTATCTTGTTTTTACAAATTTCAGTTACAGTATTAAACATTATTTTACTTCAGGTTGACAAAATGGACATGTTATTAAGTACTGATAAAAGTTTTCACACGGAGAACTACAGAGACAGGTAGGACTGTCTATTAATTTACCTCAATTCCCTTTCCCCTGAATCCCACCTATTTCAACCCCATCCTCAGCTTTCACCACGGTAATTGATAGATCCTGTAGGCGTTCATATGTCAAGTGAACAATCACATGTTGAATTGACCGATATCGTTAACCGGTGCCTGTGCGAACTTTTCGTCTAAAGTTGCACGATTAACAAATCTTACCAGTAATCACGTCGTACAATGTAAACACAGATGTTTCCAGGGAGTTTGATTTCATGGAATTCAAAGCGTTTGCAACCGAGAATGGTTTACACTATACCGAAAAGTCAAGAGCAGGGTGCCGTCGTACAAAGCGATCTTAGTGCCGAGGTGATCGTAACTCCCGTACCTTAATATAGACTTACGACAGTCGTAGCGCTAAGGCTGCTTTGTACAACGCCACCCAGGAAACCTGTGAAACTTGTGAATTGATAGTTTTACATTCATTTAAAGCATCAGATCTATTACTTGCCCGTGAAGAGATCACCTGTTTAATAAATTTTCAGCTGTATTACACAGTGCTTATGTACTGTGGGAACAAGTTTCTTCTCGGGCGAGTAATAGAATGTCACAATCTCGTCTTTGCAAGACTCGAGTTTCAAGCTTTTATGGACTTGTGTTGAAATATTCTTTAAATCAAAAGCCACTCGGGAGATATTCTCTATGTATATACTTGATGTCCTGATTGATAAGGTCTCACTAGATAGTTAGTATGAACCCATTTTCATGGGAATATTTACACTTGTGCCTGGCAATAGTATTGTCAACTTAATCGTTATAATATTAATAAATTGGATTAGAAAAAAAGAACATACTTATCACCTTTCCCACCTCGTGTCAGGAAATGTATAGTCAGGCGAACTATAGACAGCCGCTAGGTATCTACGTTTTAAACTTGAGAATGTTCATCTCCTTGATGGAGTTTTGAGAGAAAGAATAACAATATGGATGGCAATGGTAATAAAACGTCCGGAGACAAGAAATTGTAATCGCGTGTTTTCATGACGTTATGTGATCTCCGAAAATGTACGGGATGGCTCAGACACGGGCTAGCAACGGTTGCTAAGGAGATGGGCGGGGCTTAATTGGAAAGGTGCTCTATGAATTGGGAACACCCCGACTTACACGTACTTCGTTCTTACATATAAATCAACACTGGGTCAAGGAGCATCCATATATCGTGTAATAAGCTCGCTATAACGAGGATGTATACAAAGAGTGAC